ATCTTTAGCGGAAGATTGGGATGCCCACAGTATGTTGGTCTTTGTGTATCATGGGAAAAACTGTGCTTCGTCATGATGCATGACTCAGGTGTCTTGCGAGGAGCTACGCTGCTGTGCAATGTGCTGCTCTCGGCTCCTGTCACCACTCCTGAATCTTTTTAGCATTCCATGTTCAGTGATAGGGTTTGTTTCCAATCATTGTGCAGCATGTCAAGAAAGTGGCACGTGGGGAAGTGGCAAGAAGGGTTGACATAGATTTTTAGCTTTGGCTGCCAATTGAAGCCTCCACGATGTGCACCCTTCCCAAGCAAATCCCCATCCGGTTTCCTAGCGAGGAGCCCAGAATCCCCTACTAGTCCCCAGGCATCCTTGAAATGCCTAGGGGTCTCGCTTGCTGTGAGGCACCCCCCACGTGGTTGTCATCTTTTTAATCTTGCGCCAAACCTATGCGTCCAATCTTAAACGCTGAACGACTAGATCTGAAGCGTGCTTCTCATATTTTCCTGGAAAATCTTGAGTCCTGGTCATAACGGTCTTGAAGAAGAGGCTCGTCATGTAAGGACAGCCCCCAAATCCTGAACGCTAGAAACCCAAACCTGGCAGCTTCACATGTTAGTCACTTCCGCATATTTCTAAACCCACCGCACCCCGCGACTTTAAATTTGTGCTTCAGTATTCAAAGTCGATTTTCAGTCAGGATTTGTTACTAGGAAAGGGGCGGTGTTGAATGTCAGCGAGAAGGTGTTGGAACTTGGAATCTTTAGCAGAGGCCGATGTAAGTTTGCCTGAAAATTACAAGTCTTACCCTCATTGAAACCATAAACTGGGTCATTCTTGTTTCATCAGACTGGAACCCACAAACAAGGAAGATATTTTTGTTTTTATGAACCAGTATCCCAATCAGGAGTAAACTTGAGTAATCCTAAACCCTCAGGACCAGCCCTGGGGTGGAAACCCGGGTTGTGGCGCTGTACATGCAGAGTGGCCCACAGCTTATTGCTGCCATCCTAGGGAGCCTTGCTTGGACTGCGCTGGGGTCTTAAGAGGTTCAGGGTTTAGGGCTTATGGATTGTTTGTCCAAGACTTACGGGGCTAGACTTAAAGCCTCTGGTTCTGCTTGAGACCAAGTCTATTCACGTTGGCGCGCTGATGCTGGGTATAGGACCCCAAGCCCCAAGATGCCGCAAGATGCATACTCAAGATATGAGAGGTCTTAGACGTTCAATCGAGGATGTAAGCTGGCTCATCGGGAGTGCGTGTGGCTTCAGGGTTCACAGAGCGGTTGGGACGTCTCATCTTTTGCAGGTATGACGGACATCACGTTCGATTGTGGATGGAGGAAATCCTGCACCATCCTCCATAGCCCCAGTAGTAGGAATCACAATTCTCTCTGGATGCCAAGTGGTGCCATCAGTTGTCTAGTGATGACCTGGCCATCACAAAAGTCATGTTGGAACATGTCTTTGCAGCATCAAGTAGGTTCTGTCATATGTCCCCAAATAGCAGGAGGGGATAGGGTGCAGCACAACATGCCAGGCAGTTTTCAAACTAGTCCTTATAACAGGTATATTTTTTGTGCTATTTCGGCACAGCACGGGAGCATTCTGGTTTTAGGCGCAAGAACTTTACGCCATACATAGGCACCTTGGTCTGTCCCCTGATTTCCCTTGGTGTTGGGAGCTCCCAGTGAGTCCCAGTCCGCCCAGACACTATGACACAGTTCACCCATGAGGATGCTGACAGGAACCGCCTGCTCAAGCTAAACCGGCAACTTGAAATTCTAGCCTGAACAACCTCTGGAACTTCGAGCCTTAAGCGTTAAGTAGAATCAACAACCGCAGATGACGCCCTTCTCCTCAGCACCCTGAAGCCCAACGCGCTTCTTGCCAAAAATCCAAAGGCCTTAAATGGTGTTGAGAACACTAAATGTGAAACCCAAAGGCACAAAATCCTTCAGGACCCCAGACATCTCCGCTCTTGTCCGGCCCATGCCCTCCAAGAGCAAGATGAATTCAAAGCCTGATTGCTTCTAGACAACAAAGAGAGACCAATCTCAAATCTTACGTGCTTCGTGAGCTCAAGGACTTGGATTGCACAGGCAGCCTGGACTCCCTTGGATCGTAAGGGCCCGGACAGGAAGCACCTTGCCTGCCTCGTACCTAGGAGTTTTGTGTATGAGTCATGGTTTCCCGATTTAGGGTTTAGAGATATGGTTCAGGGTTGAATGTTCAGGGCTCATTGGAAGTTGTATCGGGCAACTCAAGTGCTGAGCGCTTGAAGATAAGGAGCACCTTCAAGGTAAGGCTGAAGCGACTATGTGAGTTGTGACTTTGTTTTTTGTATGCAGGGCTCCTCAGACATGTCCAGTTGTGCGGCCACAAGTATAGCAATCCCCTTTCCCAATAGCAAAACCACGCCCTATCAATGCAAATTCCTCCTATTAAGGAATGGTATCATGTTTTCCTATTAGTGGAATGGGGGTTCTATTATTAGGGGATGGGATGATGGAATTTTCACAAACCTACTGAAACTGGCCCCTATGGGGTTCCATGTCATATAAGTTTGGGGGAGGGTAAATCCCAACCCACGACTGAAGCCTTTACTTTGAGTCTCTTCCTCACATCATAAGGGACAGTAATTTTAGCACGCACGAAAGGACGCCAAAGAGGCAAACAGGTTTGGAGATTTGTCAGTGTGACGAGAATTATTGTAGGTGGTTTTAGCATGGCAACAGCTGCAAGATGTTTACCGTCCTGGAAAGGCTTTGTGAAATGGTTGAACAAATGCGTGCTGCAGCCCTCATCTGCGCAGCTGAGTTGAAATTGGGCCTTCTCCGGGTCCTTTTGGGTGGGGTAAATGGGTTGGGGTCATAAGAGGGAAGCAGTTTGTGTGAGGATTTGCCAAGTTCCAGTTCTCCGAAGTCCATCACCGACAGATATGAGTAGGGTTCCTACAGTATTACGTTCCAAATGTAGTTGTGCTACGGTTGATTCCTCTTACAGTTCTGAATCACGTATAGGCTTCATGAAGCTGAGCCGATTTGCAATGGGTCCGTTTTCAGCAGACGAAGGTGTGGGCATTGTGATGAGGGCATGAGTCCAAAAGGTTCTTAGAGCGGGTCGCGCTTGTTTACGGGACCGTTGAGGGGCATGTTGTTTTCAATGCCGAGCCTCTTGCGAGACAAGTTGAAGAGGAGCCCAATACCATCTTGCCACCAAACGACCAAGCGAGGATTGCCCTTGAAGCTCTTGGTCACAGACGACTCTGCCTTGGCAATCCGCACATGTTCCTACAAACCCTTCTGTAGTCGCTCTCCAACCCCCAATGTAATCTTGCTTACGACCTATCCCCCATTGCCAGTTGACTCCACAAAGGCCATGTCTTCCACCTGGGTTTGTCTTTATTCATCGCTCTGACTTGGTGACCTCGCCCCAAATGGTGGTTCACATAGAAAATGGTCTCAATTTGCCCGGTTTTGGAATACTCTGAACCCCAAAGAGTGTTGTTACAATCAATAAAGTATAATAAAGTGTAGCAGACCGTCTCTCGTGGCCCTGCTCCGCTTGCGACACGGAAGCTGGACGGCGGCAGATTGGGTGTTTAGGGGTTTCCCAGGCCAATCTCATGGCCGCCTGAATCCCAAGTCCTGGACTCCAAAGTCAAGCACGAAGGATGATGACGCGCCATTTCGGCAGTTGACTACACCAGTTGTTCACGCCTCTGGGTCCGCGCTGATCATGGTTTGCATTTTAGTCTTCTTGAGCCGTGTATGGGGAACATGGTTTGTTTGGCATTATCGCATTATTGGCCAGGCTCAGCAAATCAGCTTCGCAGTGGTTCCAAATGACCAGGTGACCCGGCTTTAGGGTTCAGGGACGGAGGTTGGTCTGCATGATCCTCATGGAGAAAAATCTTCTGAGATCCCAATAAGCTCCCAGGAATTTTGTCGAGAATTACAGTTCAGTTTTCAAAGGGATTGTAGTGGGCATTTTGACACCGCGATATATTGATCATGTATTGGAACAGGTTCGCTTATGTTATCAAACTTTGCACTGCGTGGGTATCGGATGCATTGAGGCTTTCGCCGAGCCAGTGGCGAGTAGTGCCTGCCGAAATTTATTTCATGTTGATAAGAATCCTTTCTTCCATTTCACTTTTGCAGATTAGTTCGAACCCCTTTTTTGATCATTTTGGGGATTGAGAAGGAATCCTGCTCCCATATCATGGACCGTAAGTCTGAGGAACTTCCAGGTGCTTGTGGAATGACATCAGCACAAGATACATGTGGATGTCCATCCGCTGCTCGCTCACGAAGCTTGGAGGGTGGAAAGCTCGTTGTCTCGGTGCTTCACACGTTGCCTCAAGACATCTGAATGAGGAATCGTTAATGATAAGAATCCATCCCAGTCGGAAGCAGGAACTCCTACGTGCTCTGGAAAGAACATGACGCTCGTGATCTTTACGGAAGCATATTAAACTCAAGCCCCTGGACACGTAACCCCCTAAGCCCCACATGCTACATGAGCCCTTTACACAACCCAAGCGCAGCTCAGGTAGACTTCCAAGGCTCGTTGCACAGTGTTGCCCAGGTAATCTACACCTCGGGCTCCACTGGTGTTCCTAAAGGCGAGGCTAAGGGATTTGAGGGATATGTGGGGTTGTAAGGAGATTCTCGGTGTCTCTCGTCTGAATACGTAAGAGCCTTCCAAGAAGGTTCCAGGAAGCGGGACTCTCAAGATTGTGGGCCTTTCTTGCCCCGGCGTTACAAGGCCGCTTGGCAACCTCTCGAAAATGACAGCTTCCCAAAAACGGGAGGCCCCACGGGATGAACCCCAAAAAGCGACCCCGGAAAACTCTTAGATTCAGATCAGATATGCCGAGGTGAGGGCGCATAGATACTAGAATATGAAATTTCGCAAGACTAGAGTGGACTAGAGGCTTCCTCATGCAGAGGCATGCCGAAGAGCCAGCTTCCTGATAACAAGGCGTGGTCTTCACACATGCGAGACTGGCTCATTCCACGCACTTCTTTGCTGAGCAGTGCGGCGTTGGCGAAGATACGCGAGTGCTGCACAAAACTTCCAACATTTGGTCGGTCTTTCGCCATGAAGTCTACCCGGCGCTGTGTCGCAAAGGCGGGCATGGCGTAAAACTCCAGAAGTGGTTATGCATCGGTTCTGCATTTTCCATGACGGGTTGTATGATGGTCGTGATCGGAGTGCAGCTTGCAGTAGACATTCTTAAGGAACAGGAAGCCCTGGTGCTGACAAGCCTGCAGGTTTGATCATCTGTGGTGAGCCAGCGCAGACCAGTGACCCACTGCATTTGGCGCAAGTCATCGACTCCTCCGGGGTGACGCTACTGGCCGCCTCCACAGTTGCAGCATGAACATGTACTATGGCATATGTAAAAGTGGCTAGTTGCCAGGATTCGTTGCCTTTTGGAGGCTTTCCTATAAATGGAGTACCTGGCTCACCGTCCACCGACAGAGCACGTTCTAAATTATGCTCCCTCTGCAGCACTGTTTTGTTTGTTGCCTTGCCTTTGAAATTCCTTCCAGCTGCACACCTGCCATGCTATCATGGCATGGCGAAATTACATCCTCTGAATCCCTGCAAAAAGGGTGGCGCTCCAAAAAGGCAGCCCCTGGTCTCAGCACAGCCCCGCATTCAAAATGTGCTTCGTGCTGTTCTTCTCGTTGCTTTGCTGCCCTAAACCTTAAACTTAAACCTTGTCAACATCTCCTTGGCGCCTAGGTCATCGCACCGTCTGTGCTCCAGTTGCTGCTGGGCTGTAGATTTTGTCATTTCTTGAAATCTTTGGTTCAGGTTGTGGGGTTCAAGGTTGATGGACGGGAGAGTATATGGGCTAGGGCATGAGGTTCAAGGGTTTGAAACTTTCTCAAGGCTCTAGGTCCTCGTCCCACGTCTTGATGAGGAACATCACATTTTGCGGACGCATAGAAGGACTTCGATTTCGAGAAGCACATGTAAGTCTCCTTAGCTACACCGGAAAGGTGCCTGCAAACAGCCGCTGAACCTCGAAAGCCGACCTCCAAGTTAGCATAGTAAATCCTGAGAACATGATCCACAGCCCCAATCACCACACTCACTACACCCCGCAAATCCAATTCCCAAACGGCCCGAGTCCTAAGCCCACGTACTGCAACTACCACTCCCAAAGCAGGATCCTTGATGTGGGAGAGTTATCGACCCTGCGTCGCATTGTTTGCATGGGTGGCCTGGCTTCAAGAAGCCGAAGCTTTTAGATGATCTAGGGTTCTGAGCTTCCGGTTACGGGCTCTCAGTTTTGGTGTGGCATTTTGGGTGTAGGGCTTAGAGTCTAGGGTTTTGTGTTTTTAGAATTTGACGTTTGGTGCTTGGAATTTTGACTTTGGGATTTGAAGTTTTTGGCTTACGTAGGGTTTTCGGCTTACGGGATCCTTCGCCTTTGTTCGCATTTCTGGCCCGAGATTTCTGGATGGAGCTTTATCTTTTGGCTCTCCTGGGTGCTGCCTTCATCATGAGTATTGTGCAGTCTGTGAGTGCAAGAAGCAAGCCTCAATTCCGAATTGCAGAGGCAGACATCTGAACGCCCTTACCCCTAAACCCTAAATATGCAAACGTGCGTAGAACGTCTGCAAAGATCCTAGACAAGCCAAAGTCAGAAAGAAAACAAAACCATGCTCTGGCCCCGTGCGAACTTGCGCCTGGAGGTTCACTGGTAGTTATGAGAAGGGTTATTACCAGCCCATTGCATCTCTCTACATCACTTACATCGCTGAGATAACTCAAGCAACCCTTTAAACCCTAAACCCAGCATGGGCCGAGCATTAGTGCGGGAGGTCCAGAGTTTCCAGAAAAAAATATCCTTTGAAATTCCATTCAGGGGAGTCCCTCACGTGGCACCTGGCCGACCGTGTGCTGAAGCAGCCACCTGCCGAGCGTTGAGTTTTCGGGGTTTAGCCGTCAGGGTACATTTTTTTTAGGTTCAGTTCGGGTTGAGTGTTTGGGTTTGAATCTAGGGTCGGATACAGCAGACATTGCACCACCCTGCCTGCCTGTAATAGCCGAAATTATAGCGCTTGCCGCAATTATAGCGCTTGGGTTTCCCAAGTGGCAAGTAAACAGGAAGTGTGTCCAGCTTGAAATGCTCGCATGCTTTACTTCAGCAATCAAATCAGAAGAGCGGCTCAGCTCAAAGAATCCAGGGCCAAGAAGATTAGGCTGGATGATGTCTAGATGTCTAAATCATGCACCTTGGGGAGTCGGAATAGGTGGGTGGTTCTGAACCTCCAACACTGTAACTGGAGGTGACATGTTGAGCTACATGTGAGCAGCAAGGCTTCCGACAGTGGAGCTAATGAATTTCTACGGGTCCACCGAGACGGAGAACACCGCCTTCTGCGTGCCTGGGATGTTTGCGGAGGCGTTTTTTGAGGATGGTCTTATGGTACTGTGCCGAACTACCAGGTGCCGGCCCCAAACGAGGTGATCAATCAGAAGGGCGTCTATCTTGAACCCAAGAGATCTCGGCTTATGTTTTGGCAGCCTCTGCACGAAAGCTGCCTGACCCCGATCTTCTTGTTCATCTCTGCAGATACTGCAATTTCAAGTCTCCGTCCCTCTCCCTCCCACTCCATTCATTCATTTCCTGGTTTTCGCCCACTGCTCGCTGAGGTACCGCGATCTGGTCTTGATGCTTTTCGCCATCACTTTGCTGTGCCAGCAGGTGTTCCACAGCCCCATGTGGGCGTACACCTGCTGAGGCAAGCTCTGCTCGATACAGTGAAAAACTAGAGTGTGCCCTCGGGCTGGGTTCGTCCTTTCCCGTGGCCCAAACGCCTGGAAACTGGGCCCTGGGCCCAAACCTCGTAAAGGCCTTGATAACTCTAAACCATTAAGCCCTAAGCCATATAAACCATGATGCATAATCCCAGGCTCGATTTCATCTTCCAATGTCTTTCCACCTGATTCTTTAGTAGTTATTACGGTTACGGCCGCTAAACCCTACGCCCTAAACCCCGCAAGCAACCTGAACCCTGATGCAAGGCCGGATACCATGGAGCTTGCACAAGCCGAAGGGGAGATCTGCTTCACTGGCGTCATGTGCCATGGCATGTTTCGTTAATTTCGCACGGAAAACGTTTTTGTTGGGGATAGTTTTGTATTCAATATGGAGGAAGAGTTTCTTCTCCTGTGGGTGCCAGTACATACAGAAGACATGTTATGTAGCTGCAGGTCAGCATAGGAGGGTGCGCAGTAAGTATAGGTACCATCCCCAGCGTACGCAGAATGGCTGCAGTCATGTTCCAGGTACTGTAACCTCCAGTGGTCAGGTTGAGCTGCGAGTTTCAAGTTAACCAGCCACTAGTGCAAGCTTGGGAATCTAATAAATGCTCTTCCTTTGACGTTTGATTTTGAGCTCATTCAAGGGTTCAGCGTTTAGGGCTTAGAGGGCCCACGGCATTGAGTTTTACTGAGCTCAAACCTTATCATGTGCTAGCAGCTAGCAACATTCCACTGACTGCCTATTGATATTCCCTTGTTAATTAAGCCTGCTCACGGGGATTCTGCTTCTCCGTGCCCTCTGAAGCTTTTGTACTTCAATCCTTTTGCGCGTAGCCCTTCACAGGTGCATGTTTACAACCCGGATGCCACGAACTCCACACGAAGAGTAGCAGCAGGGAACATTTAAGTTCATAATTTTGGGACTGGAACTCCACATTCCCTACCTGCCTCTTAAACATTGTACGAGGAATCCTGCACTTTGTAATTCTTCCACCCTGCTCCTGCAGTGGCGTGCTTCAGATCCAAGAATTTTCAGGTGAGTAGTTCCCGCTTATTAGGTGCTTTTTTACCTTCTATTTCCGTCATGTAAGCTGGAAGGGTACCTGGTCACTCACCACCTGGGTTCTTTGTTTCAACTGCAGGTCCTCCGGGTATTGGCAACGACCTGATCTGACTGCAGCTTCCTTCATTGAGCACCCACAGCTCGGTCTCTTGACCCAGGATTTCAGGTTAAAGTTCATGTGTAGACCATGACTAGTATTGTAGTTATCCTGCTTTAACTGCCCATGAAGCTCCAAGAATTATTGTGGATGGAGGAAATGTGGGAGTTTCCCGAGTTGTTCTGTACATCATCCTAATGTCCACATATGCCTCCGGGTTCCTAAAGTACCCCTGTGTTGAGAAATCCTCATCTTGCGCTGACTCATGCCATCCACCGGAGGATCAAGGATGGAGGCAGTCACAAGCATTACCGACATGTGGCAGTTCCTAACCCCCCTAAACCCTAAACCCCAGGCCCTGGAGTCTACCAGAATGGGCTGTTTTTTCCTTAGTTTCAACCCCTGCCATGCGTTTTCTATGGGGATTCTCAAAACTGCCTCTTTATTTCAGGGGGGCCCTCTTCACAGCCCTTATACCCAGAGGGTAATCCTGGCCTCCTTCTGTTGAAAACACCCGATTTAATTTACTTTCAGATGTACGCACTACACTGTTGGCGGCCTTAATGTTTGGTATGTCTGCTACTGAGCCTTGCATGTTGAGCATGGCCCTGAAGAGCTACTTCAGTGTTTCCGCGGAAAATCTCTCGGAGGAGAGTTACTACTGGGCCTGGAAACAGAAAACTTTCAAACGACTAAAAACCTAAAACTCTAAAGCGTGAACCCGTGGGAAGTAGGCTCAAGTTGATAGACCACATGCTGCCCCGAACATCTTGGCAGACACCTTGAACGTGAAGCAAAGATCTATCTCTTCCGTTCTAGTCCGAGAGAGAAGTCATACGTTCATGACCGTAAAAGCCTGAACAAACTTTAGAGTGCATCCTCAAGGCGGGCCAGCTTTTTTCCTGGGTGTGGCTTTGGTGTGGTTCGCTTACTTTTGGCTCAGATCCCCTGGTTCCCTGGTCTTCTGGTCCCCTGGTCCTCCGGTCCAGGGTCCGCTGGTCCTTTGATCCCTCTGGTCCCTCCAGTCAGCTGCAGTCCGTGGCCCAACCCCTTTTGTTACAGGCAGGCGAAAAACTTTTGCTGGGCTCATTCGTGTGAAGTGCTGGAAATGGCGGGTAAGTTGCCCCCCACATCCTGGCTGCTTGATGGAAGCAGGCAGCTAAATAACAAAGCACATCACTATCTGGGGTTCATCTTCGTCCGTGTTTGCAAATGCGGGAGCTTGATCCGCAGCAGCCCCCACGCTGCTTGGTAAAGCGCAGGAATCCAAGTAACACAGCATATTGTTAGCTGCCATCTTATAAAACTTCACAGGCAGTGTATGAATCTTGAGA